GCCCCCTGCAGGCTGAGATTAGTTAAACGCCCTGCAGGCTGAGATCAGTTAAACGCCCCCTGCAGGCTGAGATCAGTTAAGTGCTCAGTTTCAACCTCAGCCTGAAACATGTGATCTGTTTCATCTGATTCTGATGTGGTCTGTTTCATCCCTCCAGGTGCGTGCCTATGGTCCAGGTCTTCAGGGAGGCATTGTGGGTAAACCCGCCCCCTTTGCCATTGACACAAAGGGAGCGGGCACCGGTGGTTTGGGCCTGACGGTGGAGGGGCCATGTGAAGCAAAGATCGAATGTCAGGATAATGGTGATGGCTCCTGCTCGGTCTCCTACCTGCCCACCGAGCCCGGTGAGTACGCCATAAACATCCTGTTCGCTGACCAGCACATCCCCGGCTCCCCCTTCAAGGCCATGGTCCAGTCCGCGTTCGACCCCAGCAAGGTGACGGCGAGCGGCCCCGGCCTGGAGCGAGGCAAAGTCAACGAGGATGGATCGTTCACGGTGGACTGCTCCAAAGCCGGAGAGGCGAAGCTCACCATTGAGATTATCTCAGACTCTGGAGCCAAAGCTGAAGTTCACGTCCAGAACAACAGCGACGGGACGTACTCCATCACCTACATCCCACAGTTCCAGGGCATGTACACCATCACCATCAAATATGGAGGACACGCCGTGCCCAAGTTCCCTGTCCGCCTGCAGGTGGAACCGGCTGTCGACACCAGCGGAGTCAAGGTCTACGGACCTGGAGTCGAACCCAGAGGTGAGAAGAAACTGTTCACAGCTACAGGGAACCTGAATCATTCAAACGTCATCAGATCTGTTCACTTTTACTTTTTCGGGAAATTTAAATGTGCTCATTAGAAACTAAATTATCCAACTGAAACTTTACCAACATGATGGTTTTATAGATTCCTCCTTAATTAATGAAACGTTTGACCCACCATGACGCCACCCGTTGGTTTGTGAGCCGCCGTTTTCTCCAGCGCCATCTTGGGGTTAGAATTAACTCCTGAGGACAAAGTTTACTGACGTTATAAAGTGAGAAGAGACATTTTCTATAGAAACCACCAGTGGTCAGAACCCAGGTTACAGACACAGGAGTCTATGAACATTTATAAAAACCTATTTTTCTGTTGTGGTAAATATTAAAGTTGGTAGAGCGAGCTTCATGTTTTTAGTCTCTGGTCCAAAGTTTCCACGTCTGTTTGTTGACGTCAGCTCTCATTGGTTTATTTACTGACACGTAATAAAGTCTGCAGCTCATTTAAACTTTCCTCATTATGTTTCCTTCTCTTTTAAAACTAATTCATGAAAAGTCTGCACGGAGGCTGAATAACATGACGACTGCTTCCTGTGTTTCCTGATAAACATCTGCTGCATCCTCACTAATGAGAGTTTGATTTGTTTCTCGCCTGCAGGCGTCCTGAGGGAAGTGACCACACATTTCATCGTCGATGCTCGGTCTCTCTACAAAAGCGGCAGCCAAATCAAAACCTGCATTTCCAACCCGTTAGGCGGCAACACAGATGCCTACATCACAGACAAGGGCGACGGGACGTACAGGGTGGAGTACACGCCCTATGAGGACGGTGAGCAGCCTCACACACTTCTGTGTTTGCAGGAGGTTGCAGAGCTGCTGCTGGTTTATAGATGTGTTTCTTCCAGAGCAACACGTCGTTAAACTGCTGGGTTTTAAACAGTCACAGTAAAGAGACAAAGTGTTCGTGGTTTAAAAAAAATCCTCATGTTTAAAAGTTTAAAATCGATAATCAAACTGTGAAGTTCACTTTATTATTTTATAATGTGAATTTTGTGATTATTATATGAAAGTGTTTGAGTGAAAGTGAAGTGAGTCGAGTCTCTAACGAGTCGAGAGCAGCAGTGATGAACTCTGGGTATAAATAGCTGCAGACAGATGGTTTTCCACTGATAGTAACCTGTGACATGCTGGAGCCCAGTGCATTGTGGGACAGGAATACTCAGAAAGGCGTGTGGTCTTCTGTCAGTGTCACACACACAGAAACCACACATTGTGTGTGTGTGTGTGAAAGGTTGTTGGTTCTAAACCTGAATGATTCTCAGGAATCTTTGAGCAACAGCTGCTCACTGACGTCAGCTGAGAACTGAGGTTACGATGAGTAACCACCAGTTACAACAGCGTCACCTGTGACGTCACGTTCATTTGAACATACAACACCTGGTTTGGATAAAAACGTTTTCTTGTGTTATTTACGTACGAACTCAGCCATAAGGTGCCAAACAAAATGATTATGTATTTGGACAACAGGTGGCGCTGTCACGGTTTTTTATATCTAACACCAGGACTCTGGTTCTTATTTTTACGTCCTGTGACTTGAACTTGAACTTAGAGTCGGACACGGCCTGATGGGATATGTAGTCCCTCCGGTCATATTTCTCTAGTTCACATGACATCACGACCCCACCTCCTGTCTGTGTGGCGTCCAAGTGTCAGGTGACACATCTGGAGAAGAGGATGTGATTCTTCTCTCGGCTCTTTCTGTCGTCAGGTTTACATCTGATTGAGGTTCTGTTTGACGACGTCTCTCTGCCGAAGAGTCCGTTCAGAGTGACGGTGACGGAGGGTTGTGATCCCAGTCGAGTGCGAGCATACGGTCCAGGTCTGGAGGAAGGACTGGTCAACAAACCGAACCGTTTCACTGTAGAGACCAGGTCAGTTCACCTTTTGGCTACGTCCAACATGACACACATCTGAAGATGTCCGACTGCTTCGGTCTCCGTCTGGTTTCTCATTGTCTGATTGTTCCTCAGGGGAGCCGGCACCGGGGGTCTGGGTTTGGCCATTGAAGGACCGTCTGAGGCAAAGATGTCGTGTAAAGACAACAAAGACGGCAGCTGCAGCGTGGAGTACATCCCCTTCACTCCAGGAGAGTATGACGTCAACATCACGTTCGGGGGTCTCCCTATCCCAGGTGACGGATCCACTTCATTAAATCCAGAATTTAGGTCTTCAAAAGTTCAGCAGGGAGAAACTCACCTGAATGTTGGTGTCACAGGAAGTCCTTTCAGGGTCCCGGTGCGAGAGCTGGTGGATCCCAGTAAGGTGAGATGTTCAGGTCCTGGACTGGGAAGTGGAGTCAGAGCTCACGTCCCTCAGACGTTCTCTGTCGACAGCAGCAAGGCTGGCATTGCTCCGCTGGAGGTTCAGCTCTACGGTCCGACAGGTGAGACCATGAACGGCATACTGGTTCTTCTTCCTCTGATTCCTGAGAGATGCGTCCATGGACTCAGACCTCAGCCTCAATGACTGATCTCCTCAGGTGTGACCGAACCCATCAGCATCAGCGACAACGGTGATGGAACTCACACGGTGAACTACACTCCTGCCAACGATGGCCCGTACACGGTGTGTGTAAAGTACGCTGACCAGGAGGTTCCTCGCAGGTCAGTACTGCACAGATCAATTTGTGATTCCGTCTTCTTCGTCTTCATGGTCAAGGTCTAATGTCTCAAATGTCTCCTCTCAGTCCATTCAAGATCAAGACTTTACCGGCTCACGATGCCAGTAAAGTTCGAGCCAGCGGTCCCGGCCTGGACGCATCCGGGGTCCCAGCAAGTCTGCCGGTGGAGTTCACCATCGATGCTCGGGACGCTGGAGAGGGACTGCTCACCGTCCAGATCCTGGTGAGTCTCAGCATCCTGACAGACACAAGGACAGAATAAAAGGTTCCAACTAAAATGGTTCCTTCAAACCTGCTGTGTAGTAAAACCTGGTTTGAGAAACGTTTGAGAAACAGATCTTCATGTTGATTCTGTTTGACTTTGAGCTGCAGGATATCGTAGATTAAACCAGATTCATTTCACTCATATTTCTGCTGCTTCAAACTTCAGGTTCAAAACTCTCGTCTCAGAGCTGTGAAACATTTTTCTGTTTCGTTAACATTGAATAAGTTTGTTGTTTGTCTGGTAGCGCTGACGAGAGTTTACCAGTCGTTTGTCGCATCGTTTAACTGTTTTCCAGGAACTTAATTATAGTTGGAAACAGTTTCTCTGTTTCCATGACGATTTAAACCAGATGACATCATTAATTTGCAGATAAACAGAACCTGTAAAATAAAGTTTCCATTATTTATTAAAACACTGACGTGTGGGCGTGTCCTGAAACACTTTTTCATATTCCTTCATGAGTCGTCAATAATCTGAACAGTTTCTGTGTCACTGACTCTTTAACCCTGATTCAAACTCTCCATGTGATGTCCTGCCGGGGCCCGTCGGGCCTCTGGCGGCCTCTGGGTGGCGCTGCGTGCTGCAGGGTCCGGATGGAAGCAGGCGAGAGGCCTCTGTGTTTGTGGAGGACTGGGCCCGGAGGGTGTGGGAGACTCATATAGTAAAGAAAACCATCCCCTTCAGTATTCTGAGGAGAGGCTGTGTAAGGCATCACCTCACCCTCCCTCTCCCCTCGTCTCACCCCTCGTCTCACCCCTTGTCTCCCCCTCAGAGAAGCAGAGTGGAGTCCAGGTCATGATCAGGATTAATATTATATACATCTGTACAGATTAAGAGTTTAAAAGTGATTTTATGGTTCAGAACCAAAACATTTTAGCTGCAAGTACATAAAGTTTCTCTAACAAGTAAATTCAGGGAAGTTTGAAAAGTTAAAAAACTGATTCCTGAAACCTCGTGTTCACAGAAACTTTAACTTCAGTCTGAGAATCTCCTCAAGAACGAGACTGAAGACGGAAACATCAACTGTTTTTACGTTTTTAATTAGTTTGTGTTTTATGCCTCCTCCTCTGTCTTCACTCCTCTGTCCTCTCTCCTGTCTTCTGTCCTCTCTCCTCTCTTTACTCTCCTCTGTCTTCTCTCCTATGTCTTCACTCCTCTGTCCTCTCTCCTCTGTCCCTGTGTTCTCCTCGTTGGTCTCCCATCAGTTCTCCACTAACCAGAGTGCCTCCATCCATCCTCCTGCTGCTCCAGTAGATTTAGACCCTGTGTGACAAACATGCTGATAAACGCTGCCAACACCACTGGTCTCAAACCAGCCGCTGTCCAGAATCCACTAGACCTGAACTCCTCAGGTCTCTGGATCTTCTCTGGAGGACGAACACGAATGTGAGAGTGAGACTCAGTTTGTCTGTCTCCTCCTTCACTCCTGTATAAAGTCAAAATCCAAGTGAGGACACAGCAGAGCGTCCTCCACTGATCCACTGAGGGAGTGGGGGGGTGATGAGCTTCTAACACGTGACACAAACATGAAGAAACACAAACAAATGTCTCTGGAGACAAAGTGCTGACTCACGTAGAAGACAGACGAAGAATTGACCTCTCACAAAATCAGTTTGTCTCTGGTCGTGTGGCTCATGGGAGGAGACCATTGATGTGCAGCTTCACTTTAGAATGTTCCTGTTTGTCATACGTG